TCATCCGCGTAAAAGCACCTCACCTTGTTTTGTTTTTTAATCGGTTACATAATCCGTACATGTAAACTGTCTCGGGATGCAAGTTTATTTGCTAATTTGGGTAATTTCTGCTCCATTTGCATCTGCAGAATTGCCAGCCTTCCTACTCCAAGAACGCTACCTTGTAATAGTGCGGTATGTACCGCCTACTCCCTCGATCCTTTCTGAGAGTGGTGTCTCGGCAAACAGCCCCTGCTGTCACCACCTCAAAGTTCTCATCCCAGCCCCCCTCCTCGTCGCCGCCGCCACCCCCGTCCTCTCGTCTGCCGAGCGATATCGCGTTTGCCGACCCGGATTTCCACTGTAAGTTTGACAATTTTCATTCTCACTCCCAAATTTAGTCCGCGAGGATCAAGTGCCAAAACAAACCGATGTCTTGGTAATCGGCGGTGGAGTGATTGGTTGGGCCGTGGCCTACTGGATCCGCTTCCTCTCCCGAACCACTGTGACGGTGGTTGAACGAGATCCAACACTGTCTCGTTCCTCCAGCCTCCTTAGTCTGGCCACCTTACGGACACAGTTTTCAGAAGCGGAGAACATTCAGATGTCTCTGTTTGCTGCCGAATTCCTGCGTGAAGTTGAAGAATACCTACGGTCTAGTCGTGAGTGCCATTTTTCTTTAGAAATAAAAACACCAGTGTGTACGCCCGCTTGACGCAACAAGTGAGCACATTTACAGTATCTGGTGGAAATTCAATCGTGTTATTGAAGCATTGGGTGACGCGAAATATCAAAAGTCGATGTAATTTTTCGAAAATGTTGCTCTCTACGCGACTTTTCGCCTTGAAACTGGGGGATTTCATGTTGAATTCCCCGTCTCGAACTTACGTAATTGGTAGCGGTAGCTCTACTCACCCCGGTCTGCACTGATTCCTAGCCAAAAGTCCGTCGATTAGCGTCCTTTGGGCGTTGCAAAAAATTGCCAGGCAGTCGGTGCGCACGAGGCCGCTTTGAGGTGCATGCAACTGCTCCTCCGCCTCCCAAATTTCACACGCTAATTCTTCGTCGTATGCCCTTTCTCACTGTCCCAAACTTTCGAAGGTTCCAACCTCTCGATACTTTGAGTTATACTCCTCCCCATGTTAGATTTCACACCAACGACTTTAGCAACGACTTCAATCCATTTTTAGTGTTTTTGCCCTCAGTTTGTTCTAGAACCTCCGAAAATCGGCCGATCTTCAAATGGAAACTCTATGCAATAGGGTTGTGGCTCTGAAAGGTGTAGCGGATAATTTCAGGCCGGCGACCTCCGAGTCGAAGTCTCTCTGTCACCGTCACTCGCGGAAAGTTCATCACGCTTATGCGTAGAAAGTTACTTGTTCCATAAAGGATTGCCGAAGTGTTCAGCCCCTAGAAGACTTTTGCATGAACGTTGGTCCACTTGTTGTACCCAAGAAAGTGAGTCTTCCCATTCTAACACTTGTAGACTTCGACACTTTGACTAGAACATCTGAGAACTACGGTCCGCAGGACGTGTCAAGCGTTCCGGATGTACACCAGCATCCCATTACTTTCGGGACTTTGTTCGTGGAAGCATGAAAGGACTTGAAACACGTCCTTTGGTGGTATATAAACTTTATAAATCATGTCTCGGGTAATATAGGCATCACCACGGAACAAATTTCATTCATTCATTCGTTCTTTTAAATGCCAAATGTTGAAATCAAGGCTATGAGGAAGTGGATTTCTGCCTGTTTTCCGATAACTTTTGAAGTTTATGCGTCATTTAAATAGTATTTTGTGGGTGGGATTGTCGTGGACAGCTAGTAAGGCCCTCATCGGTGCTTGGGATCGATTAAGCACCTGACCCAAGTATCCGAATTTACGCATAAATAAACTATTGGACGAAGACCTCCCCAACCTCACAGTCGTTCCCGTCTGCCCGGCGTCTTTCAAGCAACATCTATTCTCGTCGGTTTGCCTTGTGCCCGTAGACTCTAGCAGGCCTGCCTTTTTGGCTTATTGGTGTTGACTAGTGTTCAGCTGTCGGTGGTCCATAGGAGCAATTTTGCCACCTGTTGTCAAACTTACCCTCCCCCCTCCCCACTTTTGGTCGTCCACAAACGCGGGGTGCGAGTGCTCCACCAGACAGACTAGCGCTAATTTTGACCAATCAAGGAACACAAAATCATCCACGGACTTCAGATCTCCTGCTCTCACCCCCTTCTCCCATTATCTGGCGTCGTTGCCGCTGTCGTCGTACGACCCACCTCTGCTTTGACCGCCAGACCGTTTCACCATATGGCACGTCACCACAGTTACCGAGCGTCCATCCGACCAGCTACTTTAACCCCGCGAGATGCTAGGCCGACCACAGCAGGTCTGCGCAGCCCCTTTTGCCTGGACTTTTGCCACTAAAACCGTCGTGCAGTATGTCCAGGATGCAGGCTGTCTGTGCAGCCCTGTCTCTCTGAACTAAGCGGCGTGGTGGCCCCAATATGGGAAGCATATTCGGAGTAGCATTTGTCCCGGATGTGCATCAAGTCCAATCGGTAGATGACACCGTATACTCTCCCGGCAGACAACTTATCTCTGGATTGGAATCGGTTGTTCATAGGTTTCGGCACACAGCGGTGGTTGGTGAAAAAATTCTGTCAGGAGGCCTGCGTCTGTGTGTCGGTAAGGTAATTCGAGTAAAACAACTGTGCCCGCGCCTTACAAACTCTTGACTTTTCCCAGATGACGCCTTTTCTGATCATTGGTTGTTTCCGTTTATTTTTTGACGTGTCTGACGAGAAGGACGGGTGGAGGCGTCCACAATGAGGGTTACTTTTTGCTGTCCAGTGTTTCAGATAGCAATTTCGGCTGTCTAGTGTATCGCCTGTACAGCTCGCGTGGGAAGGCATGCAGGTCACTATTTGCTAACTGGTTCCCAGACGCGACAAAGCTCGCGATCCACGTGCATGATAATGTGGGTTGCGCAGAGTATGCACCAGGTTCTGAAGATGACTGGCCGACTCTGCAGTCTGGAACCCTGGACAGAAAATGTGCCCCTCTGAAGACGGATAGCCAAAGATTGAAAAGTCAGACGAAAATAGCACTCCCAACGAACGCCTTCTTCTTTTATGGTATCCTACGCAGGATACGACACTCGCGCATGTGAGAGGTTCGCCGCTCGATCCCCGTTGTGTGGAATCTTGGTGCTTGTGTATGGGGGGGAGGGCAGGTCGTGCATGTGGCGCGCGCAGACAAGGTCACTAGACTATGTCAGTCACCGCGCCCATTCCCCGCTGCAGTCAGTTGACCGGCTCTGACAGTGGCTGAGGCATGGGAATTGGAAGGGAGAGTGAGGTCGACGAATCAGCGCATTTTTCTTTGTATAAACAATCTGACCCGCCTGAAGCTATCACGGTGCGCTAAAAGCCGTAGCTTGGAAGGTTGCCAACTGCCGGAATAACTTGGACCTCGCAGTCGGCCCAGTGTTGTGTGTGTTTGTGTGGAGTTGCCGGCTGATGGTCTGAGAGTTAGGCTGCAATAACTCCTTCTAAATTTGGTACTCCCACTCTGTGGGTGTAGTGGCACGCCTAGGTGCGGCTTCGGCCGTGCCAGCCTTCATTATTTTCGTCGTTGGTCAAAAACGTGGCTTTTTATTGTGTGGACCAGGGGGTGTGGAGTGGAACGCCAAGGTGGGGGCTCGATTGCGCCATCCACCTGCGTCCTCCTCCGTCTCCTGTCTTCTTGACATCGGGTCCAGGTGGGGGGGAGTCTGGTGGATGCAGCGCAAGTTTGCTCTCACTATAAATCACGCGCATATCACCGTCCCTGCTCGCACTCGCTGTGGAGCACACGGTGGACATCGTCAGATGCGACCGTCGGACTGTCATCCTACGCAGGAATCTCATCTTCACTATGCGTGTGTGCGTTGGCTTTTTAGCAGCTCCCCAAACGAGCCTTCCATGTGTTCCTTTTTGCTTATTCCCTCCTCTGCCTTGTACCTAGTAAATATTCATTTTTGCCGCTTCCTGCAGCTGAGGAGATGGCCTCGGTCAACTTCGTGCCCCACGGACACCTTATTCTGGCGGACGAAAAGGGCGTCGAGGTGCTAAACGAAAATGCCCAGATTCAATCGCAGGTTCCTCCCCTTACGGCTGACCCTTGCTCTCTTCTAGTGCTCTCGAGGTACCCAGTAATCTCATGTCGCCTGAGGAGGTGGTCAAACGTTGGCCTTGGATGGATGTTGCCGACGTCAGACTTGCCTCATTTGGTGAGCCTGTCATATTTGTTCCCCTTTACCGATTTATGTCAGACGTGCATGCATTTGCTTTCCGTAATCATTACTGCTTCTTTTTTTAGGAGAAAGGTACGAAGGCTGGTTCGACCCCTGGCGCCTCATCCGCCACCTGCGCAATAAGGCCCACACATTTGGCGCCAACTACGTGGTAGGCAATGTGAGGGCGTTCACGCATCATAAAGGCATTGCAACCACCTACTTCTACGATCGGCCAAAACGACCGACCATGTCGACGCCCTATCTGAACGAGGCTGTGGTCAGTGACCCCTCCCGCATTTTTCCAACCCCAGTTCGTTCTACTCACGCCTCTCCTTTCTGGTTTTATTAGTTCGTGGTCGTCTAGGTATGTATATGTATATATGCACAGTGTTCTGCCACCAGGGACAACGTGTCCATCCTCCATAGGGCCCTCATGTGTTTTCCAACACGGGCCTTGAGTCGTTTGCTGGTCTCTCCAATGTAGTTCATTTCGCCGGAGCAGCATTGGATCCGATAAATAACGTTTGCTGTGTTACCGAGTGGTCTTAGGTCTCATGACCAGATGCCGAATTGTTGACTGCGGCTGATGGGAAATGCCAATCCCCAGTGGTCTTGGGAGATGTGCGACCGCCTCAGAGACGCCGTCAATGTAAGAAAGCGCTCGCCAGACTTTTGGCCGTTCTGTCACTGGGCCTCGGCTTGGCACAGGCTGCCTGTTGCATTCTATAAAATTTCGAGGATACCCGTTCGCCATGAAGAGGCGCTGAAGGTAGCGAAGTTCCGACTTTTTGTCGTCTGGCTCGCTGCAGCAGTTTCTTCCCTTTTGTATAAGGTGCGTACATAGCTGCGTTTGTGGGATGACGGGTGCTTGCTGTGGTAGCTCAGGATTTAGCGCGTATTGGCGGCCTTCCTATACGCCGTTGTTTCCAGGTGTCCATTTGGTTTCCGGTAAACCACTACGTCTAGGAACAATAGTTGGTTGTTGCTTTCGGCCTCCATTGCAAACTGGATACCAGGCGAAACCGAATTCAGGACGTTGTGAAATGTCTGAACGATTTCCCGCTTGATGCTGACCAAGGTATCATCAACATATTGAGTTCAAACTTTTGGCCTTCAGGTCTCGAAAACTTCGGCCTCTACCTTATGGAGAACTGCGCCTAGTGCACTGTTCCTCTATTGACTCCTGCAGTTAACCTATGCATGACAGATAGGAGAGTAAGACTGACACTGAGGCATCCACCCGCACGGCGCACTCGTGCACTCTTCACGACACGCGTAAGTCTATCACGACGCGCTAGGAGTAGTGGCCTGGGAGGTCGCCTGCTGACGGGATAACTCGGTCGCTACAGGGGAGACCGAAGGACTGAGAGAGTCAGGTTGCAATGGCGCTATCCCAATGTAGTCTTTGTGACACGCGCCGATGTGGGATCCGAGGTGTCCTTACAGAAGCCGGGCACGTGTTGTGCGGACCAGGCAGTGTGTGGCACGCGTAGACGGGCCGTTTGGCCTTGTCAGTCATTTCATCCAAGTCCACCTCTCCGACATCGTCTTGCAGTCCGAGTCTCTCTCTCGTGGGTCAGGGGGTGGTGAGACTGCGCAAGTCTGCCTCACCATAAACTGATTCACGTGCGGGCCACCGGTGCCGTGTCCACTCCAGGGGCCACGTGGTGGGCGTCGTCGCTTGCGACGGTCGAACTGTCGAGGGTACAATTAAAACTATTCCGGTAGTCGACTACCCTCCTCGTCCATGACGAACTTCTCCACGAACTAAGCCAAAGCATATGTGACTGCCACAAGGATATCCCTAGTTGGAATAACAGTTTTAATATCAGTTGGTATTCCTAGTAAACCTGCGCGAGGTCCTCCACTCCCCTTGGGAGTCGTCCCTAGTAAGGAAGGCAATGTACGTATGCCGGCCCTGTTTTATTCGAAAAATCCGATTGACACGTCGACCCCCCCCCCTTCCCCTCTCTGCCTGTTAATTTAACGCGTCCCACATCACCGACCCACTTTCCTTACAGCATGCCTCTTACAACTCTCCATTATGCCCACTTTCTTACTCCTCATAGATTGCCCTGCCGGACGGTTCGGAGACAAGGATGGCTTTCCACACCTGCGTCAACGCTGCGGGTCCATGGGCAGCTGATATCATGTCACTGGCCTTGCGCGATTTTGATGAGCCCATGCTTCGCCTACCAGTGGAGAAGAGGTTGGTGCCTGTGCTGTTGCGATTACTTGTTTCACCGGTTTACGTAGAAGCCCTGGACATTTGGTTTGCCAGCTGTTTGGGGTTGTCACTGCACTCATGCTGAACCCGGTGCCGGGCTATCGAAACTGCACTGGACGTGGCCGGCCTGCATTTACGTGCTTCAAGTCTCATTGTATGGGACAGCTGTCTTAGGAAGCACATAGGACGGCCACTGCACTTAAACGGTGGTCCGGTCGTTTTCCCCGTTTGCACACGCGGATGGGAAGACAACGTGAACTCGGAGCTCGTCGGTCGCGCTGTACGAGGACCACCATTGTCTGGAAAGACAGCAGCGTCGCTCTCTTCACCGTCGCCAGTGGCATAACCAACTCAGAACGACTGAAGGTGTCTTTGGGACACCGTGACCGGCCATCGTCTACGTTAACGCAGCATTTTCACCGCCACCCCTCCCCCCCCCCCCACCCGGTTGGTGGTTGTCCTCTTACTGTACGATCCAGCGTCCTAGGGGGGAGGGGGATCATTCATCTTGAGAAATTGGCGGTTGTCCCGAAATGTCAGCTATCCATTTTTGACCTGCAGTCCTACAAAGTCCTATTGGCGTATCCCACCTTCTGATGACCCCTTCTTTGCATTCTTCCTAGGAAACAGAATATTTTTGTCGTGAGTCCGGACTACACCGCAGCTCCGAGCACACATTTTCCGGGGATTGACGCTCCCATCCTGATTGACCACTCGGGCCTCTTTATGCAGCGTCAAGGCCTCTCAGGAGACTTTGCCGTTTGCATGAACCCCTGCCGGACGCAAAACCGGCACCCGGTGAGTCCCAAGCCCTTCTGTCCGTAGCCTAGTACGCGCGTGCGCCACTTCTTCGCAACAACTATTGTTGTTGTTGTTCTTCCTTTGTAGGATAAGGAGGACTTCGAAGTTGACTACAGTGAGTTCACAGACCAAATCCAGCCACGCCTGGCACGTCGCATCCCTGCCATGGCAACCGCCAAAATTAGGTCCGCTTGGGCATACCTCAACGACTACAATCCGGTGGATCAGAGTCTTATAATCGGGCCGCATCCCTTTATCAACAATATGCTGCTAGCAAACGGATCCAGTGGTCTCAGCACGCAACACTCAATCGCGATCGGTCGTGCTATCGCGGAGTACGTCCACTACCGTCATTTCAAGTCAATCGATCTGACACGTTTTTCCTTTGACCGTTTCTTCCTCAATTTGCCCATCTCCGAACGAAACACATTTTAATCAGTGCTCATTTGGTCCTTGCCTTGTGTGTATATGTAATATATCACCCAAATAGTAGAAGAGACGCCCTACTACCGTCGGGCAATTGTTGCGCATCTGTGTAATTCTGAGTCGACTTACATTGTTTCCCATCGCTGACGTTTTTGACTGGTTGGAAGCGCTGAAGCCGGCTCCTGTTTCCTAATGGAAATGTTTAAGATACAGAATAACCGGGAAGAAACCTGATCTCGATCTCGTGTTTCATAAATATCACAGTTACTGACTGAGATTTCTCCACTACGAAAATCTGTAGTGTGTTGGTAATCGTCGCACATTTCATGCAGATGTAATCATTGGGCGACCCAGTTCTGAAGATCCAGATAGTGGTTTCTTCGTACTCGCATAGATCACACTACATCCGTTCTTGAGAATGTTCTGCGAGCATCCTTTTGGCAACTCATCACAGACCGCCACCAAGAGGCCTAAGGAATTTAAATGGCATCCACTACCGACGCAGTCCGATTGCAGGAGAGAATCTAGCCATTTGGTTTTGCCCTGAAGTCCGAGTTCGGGACCCACAGGCCAGCCGGCGATGGCCACCTGGGCCGTCCCACACATCAGGACCAGCTCTCATAAATTAGAATACTCCCGACCGCAGCAAAGAGGGCTCGGGCCGGTGGAGCTCTAAGCCAAATAGTTAACTGGCTGGCTGATGACAGTAAGCAGGGCATAAATGCCCAGTTTAACCTAGTAGTCGGTAATCCTTTGTAGTAATCATAAACATGTCACTTAGGGTTGGAAAAGCCCACAGCAAGCCCGCTTGACGATAACTATTGCCAGTCCTGGTTTGAAGAAATCAAGTCAAGCTACTTGCAGGCAGGTATGTACAAGTCACCACAGGCTACAACCATCGGCTGGAGGTGCGGCGTTAATTCCAAACATCGGTTCAGAACTTTCGAGACCTCGGGTGGGTTCTGTTTGAGTAGGAGGCTCAAGATAGCGGTTAGCTGGGAAGACAGGGTGTTGAGGCCGTCCGCCACGTCCTCATTGCCCCGCCTACTCCATTCGAGGTCGACGAATGACGTCACCACGGGAAGGACCATCGGGAGCAGGTCCGGAAACAGGAGGTCAGAAGAGAGTTGGACAAACTTCAGCAGGCATGCCAACATCTGCGAGAAGGAGAGATGTTCGCGCTCTCGGAGGTTTGCCTAAACGACAAAGTGGATGATGAACGGGGTGTTGCCTCAGAAGAGTCGATTTAAAATTGTCCAATCTGCATACCGAGTTCGAGGAACGCGGGGCGAGCAGAGTGAGTTCAGCGGACTTCAGAAGGCGTCTTGAGTGCACCATTATCTCCCTTCCGAGCAAATCAGTGAGAGTTGTGGCGTATTCAGTTAGCACTACACGGTTCTCCAGCTTGGCCTCCAGGACTAGGTCAGAGAATAGTACTTCGGCCAGCTTGTTGAGCCAAATTCTCTTCTCTGTTGGCTCCAAAAGCCGAAGAAAGGCGAAGATGCAGCCAAATGCCTCCGCGAGAAGAGTCTAAAACACGAAAAGGGGGTGAGATAAGGTGTGCATTTTGTCTTCGGAAAGTGGCTAATTGGGTGTAGAGACTGAACAACGTCTAGCGCAGATTTACTGCCCTGCAGCGGCTGGGTTAAATGGGTAGTGGCTGGTCGGTATGTACGATACTAGCCGACAAAAAGCCTTATTTGAACAGGTGAATGATCGAAGTTGGCCCGCTCTCCGTTCCGTTATCACAAAATGGGTCGCCAAAGGCAGTATAGTGCTAACAGACGAGTGGAAGGCGTAAAATCGTCTTCTCTCAGAAGGTTATCTACATTTCTCTGTTAACCGCTCAAGGAACTTCAAGGACCCTACCACCGGACGGTACACCAATGCCATTGAGGCCTACTGGAGTAGATTGAAAAGGAAACTCCACGAGGGAGGCCCTGTATGTGGCCGAGCTGTGTGGCCTCAATGCCATGTATTTGACAAATGCCTGGGAACTGTTCCTGTCCCATGTTGTGCAGACTTATCCTATTTAAAAGTGATTTTGTTTTGTAATAAATTGCCATAGTGCGAATGTATGCCGTACGTGTAACGATGGGGAAGGTTGGGTAACAGCAACTATCGTCCATGTTACCTCCTGCGATGTTCGTTTGGCCAGCCCATGTTAGGCC